CGCCTTTAAGCCCAGCACTCAGGAGGCAGGGGATCTCTGTGAGTTCACCACCAGTCTGGTCTGTAGAGTGAGGTCCAGGACAGCCAGCATAACACAGAGAACCCCTGTCTCGAAAAACCCAAATAAATAAGAAAATAAAATTACTTCATTAAAAAGTTAGATGTATAGCTGGGTCATGGTGGCACCTGTAATGAGCTATGGTGGGGCTGAGGCAAGAGGGGTCTGAGGTCAGCCTGGACCACATAGGATCCTGTTGTATTAAAGCAAAAACAAAACAAAAAAAAAGCAGCAGAAGTTCTCTCTGAGAGTCAGTGTTCTTAGACTTGGGCCTTCCCACCCCCAGGATCCCCCATTCCCAATGACCCCTGCCACCCTCCCCACAGGTGAACGTGTATGGATTTGGGGCTGACAGCCGAGGCAATTGGCACCACTACTGGGAGAACAACCGGTATGCGGGTGAATTCCGGAAGACGGGCGTGCACGATGCCGACTTCGAAGCCCACATCATTGACCTGCTGGCCAAGGCCAGCAAGATCGAGGTCTACCGAGGGAACTGAGCTCCCCAAGGGCAACGTCAGGATCAGTCAAGCCTTGGTCTGGCCGAGGACGGGCTGCCGCCCACCAATCGGACCCTGCGCCGTTCTCCGTAATGAATCCGTGCTGCTGTTGGGCGGAGCTTCTCTTTCTCAGCCAATCATACGACTCAAGGAGAACTTCTGGCGCCGCCGTCTCCACCAATCATGGCCTTGGGAGGCGGCGGGGCCTCGACCCCCTTCCCCCAACCCAGCTTTGGATAAGAGTTTCTTTTCCACGTTTTAAGAGGCTAGGTCTGGGCCTGGATAGGAGCGCTTTGGACTGCTCTCTTCCAGTTTAGGCCCGGATGGGTGAGTGAAGCCCGCCAAAGAAATGTGGTCGCGATGAGACCCTCTCCAGGGCATTCATTCTGTGGCTCACCAGGTAGTAGGGGATTAGATTCACCCCCAGCTGGGTGGATCTCCCTAGGGCCTCACTCCAGTAACTAGTGTCAGCAGGGGTAGGAAGTTTCACCGGATCACATGCAAGGTGCTTCTCTCACGTGTGCCCTCACTCCTACTGTCCCCCACCATCTTCTCAGCGTCTGCCCTTTGGCCCTGGGCTTTCTCTCCAGCTCACTTGTTGATCTGGAGACAAAATGACACCACTGGGACCCAGCTGCTCACGCCCTGGCACACGGTCCGTAAGTCTTTAGCCTTCAGGCGAGAGCAGCAGTGGACAGCAGGCTGGAGAGCCGAGCCCAGCTGCCTGTGCATGTACCGTTTTCTCTCATTGTCACCCCAAAGGAGCAGACAGCCTCTTGCTTGGGTGTAGGATTTGCTTTGGGCTCATACTTTAGTTACCTTGAAGCTGCCAGGGATGGCTGCCCAACCAAGATTGCTTGACAATTCTTTGCAGATGGCCTGGAGCTTTGCTGGGGAGGAGCGGATTGGTGGCTGCCATGCATGCCTCCTCCTGTCTGCAACTTTACCCTGCTTACTCGCCTGTTCTAACCCACTTTCCGGCTCCTAAAGGGCTGGTGAGTAAAGAAGCGGGGGTTAGAACTGGAAGCTATTTGCATGACTCAAGTCAAGGCTGAGGTTGAGTGGGTGAAAGGGCCTCAGTGAATGTCTCAGGCCACAGAAAGTAGGACCCCTTCCCTGCAGTGTCCACACAAATATTTCCCATTCTTAAGTTGACATTACCAAGCAGCCTCCTGGTTGAGGGGGACAGTCACCCAGAAGGGATAGTACCAGGGGGCTGGGATGAGACAGCAAGTACTCCTGAAAACTAAGACATGGAGAACTTTTCTTGAATCTGTTCCTTCCCAGTTCCAAAAGCAGGGGTGGAGAAAAAGGGGCTACACTGAGCGGGGCTACAGGAGTCACTCCCAGGGCTCTACCCGGCCAGCCGGCAGTCAAGGCACCCGCCGTTCTCTTCTTGCCTGTCTCATCTCTGCTCTCAGGAAGTTGCTGGGATGAGAAACTGAAAAACAATGCGATTATGCCAAACAGTATTGAGAAGAATAATTTATTTTCTCCCCTTCCTCCCTTTGTTTTGTTTAAACCATTAATCCCAATTCTAGAAGAGGTAGGTCCCAGCACCCAGATCTTTTCTTCTATGGTTATTTAAACATTTAAATTTTTTCCTTCCCTTTCTTTTTCTGAATTAAAAAAGAACAAACCCCATGGAGTCATTCATCTGTTCTAAACTATACTGTCTTAGATGTATCTAAGGAGGCACTATAATAGTAAGGATGTTTGGGAGAACAAAGCAATTCTGCTACCCTCTTACACATGAGTCTAGTTCAGACTCTGCTCTCTGAAGTCCCCCAAAAGACTATGAGGATTACAGTTGCACCAGGCATGGCGACATGTGCCTTCAATCTCAGCAGTTGGAAGGCTGAGGCAGGAAAATAAGTTAAAGGCTAGCCTTAGCTCTATGGCAAGTTTGAGGTCAGCCTGGGCTACATGATACCTTTTCTCAGAAACAAAACAAAAATCAGATTACTGTACCCTCTTCAGATTCCTCTAAAAGACTTGGAAAGGATTATTGGCTCACCTGAAATGACCTTTCGTCATCTCAGCACCCGTAAAGCTGTCCTTTCCCTATGGGGTAAGCCCCTCTCTGGATTTCTCCTATCTTTGGCATTTTTCTGCTGACTCCAATCACACTACATGGACCCACATCCTGCTGCCAGTGCAACAAGATGCTATACAAAAGGATAGTTCTCCGGGAGAACTGCTGGGTGCATATACTGCCTCCCTCAGCTTTGCCTTCACCAAGGGAAAAAAATGCTTGGATAAATGCTCAAATAAACTCCAGTAGGTAATTAAAAATCTCCTGGGGGAAAAATGTTGGCTCTATACCTTAAATCACTCACTAAAATGGATGTCAAATGGATCAAAGAACTACACTTGTCTAATGTACTGTTACAACTTAGATATTCCAACAGTCTTGTAGTTGATCTTTCTTTCATGCTTTCCGGTTCCCCTCATTAAAATGCAAGGCTTTTTTTTTTTTGCATTCTACTTTGTTAGATTGCTTTTTACAGTTGTTCTGTAGTCTTCAGGTTGAGGTATACCATTTAACCAAATGCTAACTCTTCTGTCATGATGAAGTCTTGGGAGTCTAGGGACAGAGGACTGTCCTTTCTCTTAAGATAGGGGACCAATTTGGAGAGACAGAACCTATTAGCTATCAGGACTGACGAGGGTAGCTGTGGAATCAACTGTGGCCTGGAATGAGTAATTTTTGCTCCATTACTAGTCCACAACTTATCTGCCTTGGTTTTTTGAAGACAGGGTTTTTCTATGTAGCCCTGGCTGTCCTAGAACTTGCTGAGACCAAGCTGGCCTTGAAGTCTGAGACCCACCTCCTTCTGCCTCCCTAAATGCTGGGATTAAAGGCATACGACTAAAGGCTGTTTAGTCCTTGCCAGGCATGACTAAACCACTGCCTGGCTGCCTGCCCTGTTTATTTTCAGTGTCGTCCTTTGGGTCAGCGCAGGTATTAACTATTGCGCTGTCTTACTCTGTGCCGTCTCAATTCCTTTCCCCTTCTTAAACTTCACAGTGCTCCACGCTCCTGTACACACACACACGCGCTCATACTCCTGTACACACACACATGCGCTCATACTCCCGTACACACACACACACATACAAACCTTGCTGTCTGCCACACTACCCTACCAGGGTGGACCTCGAATTTATCTCACACCTGCTCTCATCTTCACCCTCATTCAAGGGCTGGAACTCTCTGGCCCATACACCCATAACCCTGTCACGCACTTCCCTTCTATGGTCCCCAAATCTCTCATCCAAAAGACCATCTAAACTTGTTTTCTGTTATTTTTCCTTCCCTTTCCTGGAAAAGGGATCTTTTTTTTTTTGACGTTCCACAGGTTAACTCCCAAATTCAGGGTTCAGGGGATAGATACCACACTGGATGGGATTACAGGTGAGCATCAACACAGCAGGCATCCTAAGATCTACATGAACATAAAAATACAAGTACCCAAAAGCTGATTCTACAGGAAAGATGGTTTTTGTTTTGTCTTTGAGACATGGACTCTGTGTCACTCTGGCTGTCCTGGAACTCAAGAGATCTTATCTGCAGAGTGCTGGGATTAAAGGTAGTTATGTCTCTCGGGGTGGGGTACACTAGATGTAACAGGCAGTTGTGAGGTACCTGGTTAACGTGAAATGGGTGCAGGGAGACAAAAGTCTGTTCTAAGGACAGCACATGCTCTTCACTGTCAAGCCATCCCCCCAGTTCCTAGCCTGGCAGTTTTAAAAATGGATATACAAAGTCAGGCATGGTGGCACATGCCTTTAACTCCAGCATTTAGGAGACAGAGGCAGGTGGATTTCTTCTATGAGTTTGTGGGCAGCCTGATCTACAAAGTGAGTTCCAGGACATCTAGAGCTACACAGTGAGACTCTACTTCAAAAAATAACAAAAAAGGGATATTACGAATGGCGGTAAAAAGACATTTTTTATATTACTACAGCAACAAATTGATAAGAACTTTTGGGGCAGGCTTAATTAGTGATGAATTATGACTTTAAATGTTTCCATGCTGACCCAAGAAGTCTATATCCAGGAATGTAAGAGCAGTTCTCACCATATCCAAGATAGAGCTTGAGCTAGTCACTATGGCACTATGGGTAATGGGACATGCTAGAAATCCTTTCACTGGGGAATGATAAAATATATGCCAGGCTGGCCATGCTGGCACACATAGACAGAAGGACCTCCCACACCAGGTGACAGATACTTTCCAGAGTGAAATAGATGTATGTATATGCGCTGAAACCGCCAAAATGCCTATAATTGAATCATCAGGTTACAAAGTAGTATGGAATGTGTGCGTGGAATGCTCACACTTATCCCAAATGAAAGCAGCCATGGAGAAGACAGAAGAAACACTGGGACATGTTGAACAAGCAGGAAGCTATGCGTGTCTCAAGTAAACACAGCACTATCACACACACTTTTTAATGCGCATATATTAGTCTAGTAAGCATAAAAATACAAATAACAAACCATGATTAGTAAATTGCTTCTCATAATTATTTTAAAAATTTCTGAAAATGATGTGTTATCACTGTGTCTTATCTAATCTTATTCATACAATGTATGAAGTGATCCATAAGTCTGCTAATGGCATAATGAATATTTTTTGTTTGGTCATAACTTCCTTTCTAAATTGCCGTTGGCATGAAATCCCATGGATTAGAACCAAACAATGAGCCAGGTCCAGAACAGATGGAGTGGAAGTGAAGGGAAGACAGGCCCCATCTGCAGTGGGGTTGTCTACCCAATATACCAATCAGTCTCCCTTGTGAGTCTGTGATTTTACTGACTTCCATCTTGTCTGCCAATCTGAAGAATAAAGCAGCAGCCAAGATGCTCACCAGAAGGAAGAGAGAAGGAGCTATGGGAGGGATGGGCACTCAGGACTCTACTGGCACTATAAAAGGCATCTACGCTATAGCCAGGGTTCTCCTGGTCTCTGAACCTTTTTCTCACAACCATACTGCCATAGAAGAGACAATTGTGGCTTTAAAGGGAGATAGAGCTGAGGACTATGTTTTGAAACAAGGTCTCACTTTGTAGCTCTAGCTGCCCTGGAACTCTGAAGACCAGGCTGCCTGGAAATGACAGATACTCCTGCCTCTGCCTCTCAAGTGCTGGGATTAAAGGTCTGCGCCACCACGTGCGTCTAGGACTATTTTCTAAACTGCAAAAATTCTCCTTGCATGTCCCCCCACTGTTTGCACAAATCTGTCAGTTTCAAACGTAATTCTGAATGAGGTAGGTAGTCTCTACTCAGGCCTTGGTCTTTGAGGTGCCTGTCAAGGCCTATGCCATGAAAGCTCTAGGCTCCCAGGCAGGGACAGTGCTGAGGGTGGTGCCAGTTGCTGGTGAAGCTTCTCAGTTGGCTATTTTCTCAATCTCATCCAAATCGTCTGTGTCCAATCTTTCTATCTTCTTATCTGAGGGAAAAAAGATAGGAGGACCACCGTGGGCTACCATGGAAATACAACGGACGTCACCCAGAGCAGCATGGCAGTCGGGGGAGGCGCCTCGCTGTGGGACAGTGATGCTTCCTCCAGGCACAGGGCAGGCTTCCTGAGTCTGAGTAGCTGGCAACAGGGCCCAGGTCACTGACACCGACTTCCCAGGGAGGTTGTCAGGTCCCCCTAGGCAGGTGCCAGGGCGCTGATACTCCAGTCCCTGAGCCCTGAATGTGCAGGTGCTCCCCCTGACAAGGCCCAGGTGGAGCAGTTTATGTAGGGACACAGCCCACACTAGGGACAAAGGAAACCTCCCCTCTGCCACACTCCCCCCCTCTGAAAAGAGTTCCAGGCACAGCCAACTCAGGGACTCACTAAAATGCTCCTGGATTCTGTTGAGGATATTCATGCTGTGCTTGCTGTCAACCATGTTTACAGCCAGACCCCTCTTGCCAAAGCGGCCCGTGCGCCCGATGCGGTGCAGGTAGGTCTCATTGTCCGGGTTCCCGTCCTTGTCCACAGGAAGGTCAAAATTGATGACGACAGACACTTGTTCAACATCAATACCTGCACAAAGAGGTTGGAGGGAGGGAGGCAGACAGGAGAAAAGGGGGCCACAGTCAGCCACACACACCCACTTCTACTGGAGACATGGCTTGGGCTGGTCATGTCTGGGCTATGGGCACTCAAGAGGACGCCTACAGGATGGTAGCCTCGGCAGAAGAACAAAAAGCAAGTGTCTGGAGGCCTGAGTTTCTTCACACTAAGGCGGGAATGCTGGCTTCCTCCCAGTGGTTCTTCCTGCCCAAGGGGAATCGGTCTCTCCTACAAAGGGACGCCCCTACCTAAGGCCCTCCCACCTCCATGAGACCACAGATACAAGCACTTTCCTTGCTCAGAGGGCCTGGGACCCCAAGTCTCTGCTCACCACGGGCACACACGTTGGTGGTCACCAGGACCTTCTCTTTGCCTTCTCGGAAGCGCTCAATCACGGCCGCCCTCTGCTCCACCATCATCTCCCCACTCAGCAGAGCCACCTGGTGGCCCTCCTTGGAGAGCTCTGCTGCCAGCCAGCTAGCTGTTTTGCGGGTCTGGGGAAGAAAACAAACAAAAAGCCCCACAAACGTTTAAGAAATATTAGTACCTAGAGGGACTACTGAAGACCCAGAAGAGTCTATCTGAAACTTACCAGCTAAACATCAAGTATGCTAAAACTGTTACTCTGACAGCACAATAGCTAGCAAAAATACCACCTGGGGACCAATTTCACAATGTTCCTACTATAAATGACCCAACTTGGGTCTGGTGAACCAATCCAATTTGGTACAACACAAAATTAATTTTAAAAATTCACCTATGGGCTGATAGATGACTCAGGGATTAAGAGCACTAACTGCTCTTCCAAAGGTCCTGAGTTCAATTCCCAGCAACCACATGGTGACTCACAACCATCTGTAATAAGATCTGGAGCCCTCTTCTGGCCTTCAGGGATACACGTAGGCAGATGCTGTATACATAATTAATAAATAAATCTTAAAAAAAATTCACCTGTAATTCTAGCACTTAGAACACTGATGTAGAAATACCTGAAGTTGACGGCTAGCCTGAGCTATATTTTGAGACCTTATTTCAAAAACAAAAACAAACCTAAACCTAAATAGGTCACAAAAGTGATAAGGGAAATCAGAAATTCTACAAGACTATTACTTCATTATCCAGATTCCTGGAGCTGTCCAGGTTAGAGTTTGATATGCTCTGTCAGAGACACGAAGGGATGGTTCTGAGAAAGGGTAGTCTCAAGCGACTAAACTACTGAATGCAATAAGCAATCCTCAGGTTTAACATAAGGCAATAAATAAGGGGCTGAAGAGAACATTTTGCAACTTTAATCCCAGAACTAGAGAGGCAGAGGCAAAAAGATCTGAGTTTGAGGCCAGCCTGGTCGACACAGCATGTATCAGGACAGCCAGGGTTGTATTGAAAAACCAAACCAAAAAAAAAAAAAAAAAAAAAAAACAAACCTAAAATAAAATCACAGTGGGAAGAAGTCTAAAACTAACAGAGGATGATGTCTTATTCTTTTGTTCCTAACTATTTTTTAAGGCTTGTTTGTTTGTTTGTTTATTTATTTATTGTTTACAGTGTTCGGCCTGCAAGCCAGAAGAGGGCACCAGATTTTATCACAGATGGTTGTGAGCCACTATGTGGTTGCTGGGAATTGAACTCACGACCTCTGGAAGAACAGCCAGTGCTCTTAACCGCTGAGCCATCTCTCCAGCTCTCCTAACAGTATTTTCAAGTGCTTCTTCCTGTGACAATTTAATCATCAGCAACTTCTTTTAGATTTTTCTCAATTACATATCCCCTACAAATAGATATTGTTCTTGCAATGCTGTGTTAAAACTATGTAACTCCAGAAACAGGGCTATCAAAGAAACCATCTTCCCCATTCCCACAAGCCAGTTCCTTGCCACACAGAGAAATTGGTTCTCTTGAGCAAAGAAAGTGGGGCTGAACGAAGGAAGGGCAGTGCATCCCCTGGAGGGCAGCAGCTACTCACATGGCAGAAGATCATGGCTTGGGCGATGGTGATGGCCCCGTACAGGTTGCACAGGGCCTGGAACTTCTCCTCTCTGTTATTGCAAACGACATAATACTGTTTGATGGTGTCCAAAGTCTCCTCTTCACGCTTAAGTTTGATGATGTTGGGGTCTGGGACCACCTTCTGGGCAAACTTCCACACTGAATCTTCAAAGGTGGCAGAGAAGAGCAGCATCTGGCAGTTTCTGGGCAGCATCCTGCAAGTGGAGGCCCAGGCACTTTGCACAGCTTCAAGCTTTTTGCCAGAAGGAACACAAGCCCAGCCTCCGCAGCCTGGATGGGCTGCAGCCCCACAGGCTGAGTGGGATACAGAGCATCCTGAGGAGGGAGGAGCAGACCAAGCGTGGCACTGGGCTGAGTGAGGGTCCCAGGTCTCCCTTCTCATCCCAGGCTGGGAGCATGCTGAGAGCGGTTGTGGAAATGGCCCACCACACAAATACTGCTGCACAGAGCAGAGCAAAGAACCCAAAGATGCAAGAGGAGGCTTTGGAGGTTCCTCCTGGTCCAGTTCCTACCTCTGGATGCGGATGCTCTGGTCTTGGTGGCCTTGAGTTGCTATCATCACGTCAGCCTCGTCCAGAACAAACACCTTGATCTTCTTGGGGTCAATGAACTTCAGCTTAGAGCACCAGTCCAGGACGGTCCCGGGGGTGCCTATGACAATCTGCTCACTGACCTTCTGACCTCTGTCCACTGTGGAAAGACATGTTTTCTTCAGGTATTATAAAGGAAAGCTAGCTTTGGAAATAAAAGTCTTACACATCCTCTCAGACTGTCAGAACAAATCAATTCCAGATTTCAAAACACATGTGAGGGGGCTGGAGAGATGGCTCAGTGGTTAAGAGCATTGCCTGCTCTTCCAAAGGTACTGAGTTCAATTCCCAGCAACCACATGGTGGCTCACAACCACCTGTAATGAGGTCTGGTGCCTCTTCTGGCCTGCAGACATACAGACAGAATATTGTATACATAATAAATAAATATTAAAAAAAAAAGACATACCTACAGGCAGAACACCAATGTGCATAAAATAAGAATAAATAAATTATTTAAAAAAAAAAACCGTATGGGAGGGCTGGTAAGATGGCTCAGTGAGTAGAGTCCCTTGTTCAATCCTGATAACTACACGGTGGGAGGGAAGAACTGAGTGCACAAGTTACCCTCTATCCTACACACACAGTGGCTACCACACCCCCACCACATGAATAAAACACACAAGGGTCATCCTTAATTAAGCCTTGCTTTCTTCAGCTGTGAAATAGAACACTGGTATAGAGCATTGTAGACAAAAACGTGCAAGTTCTTTCCTTTCTCCTAAAATCTTTGAAATAAATTTTAATGGGGGAGGGGCAGTGTTTTGCATGCCTGGTGCCTTCAAAGGCCAGAAGGGGCTCCAGATCCCCTGGAACTGGAGCTACAGACAGTTGTTAGCTGCCCCATGCGGGTGCTGGGAAGTGAAGCCCGGTCTTCTGAAAGAACAAGGGCTCTGAACACCGCAGCCCTCTCCCCAGCCCTCTCCTAACCTGAACATCATGCGGTGTTTCTTTCACACATTCCCATCCGCCTTCCATGTAGTTCACTTCTTTCCTCCTACACTGGCAGCTCAGTCAAGGATCCTGGCATAGACTTTGTTCTGCTTTCTGGCCTACAGACATTTATTCTTCTTGTATAGCTGGTCTTCCTAAGGTCAAATCTCTATCTTACAGTGCGCGCACATACACACCACTACTCAGAAACTTCAGCTGACTCAAGTTGAAACTGATATAACTGTTTATAAAGTTACTAATGCATGCACAATAACCTTCCATTATGAGAGAATAATCATGTTGTCAGACATGGTAGGCTAGGCTTACAATTCCGAGATCTCTGTTTAAGTTTCACCTCTATTTATACTCACATTTATTGCCTCTAACAGCGTAAGCTAGCTTCAGTTCTGGATGAAATTTGCCCATCTGCTCAATCACTTTTCCTGTCTGAAGTGCCAGTTCATATGTCGGGGATAGGCACAAACACTGGCGGAGAAACCACAGATGAGTTCAATCACAGACAACAGGCCGAATTAGGCCCACAAGCATACCAATGCTATTACCTCTTGAAATAGTGCAGGGGACCTGCTCCTCAAGCAGACCCACCGCTCACCTGTATACAAATGCCTCTGTAAGGAACCCTGCCCTAATGAGAGCCCAGGGTCGGTATTAGTGGAGGCCTTAAGAAACCATCGCTTAAAGTTGCTGTCTCCAAGAGAATTCTGCCCTGTCAAGGTCTGAAGCACTAAACTGCTCTGCAGGAGCCAATGACTAAGGTGCCGATGATAATCAGACTTCATCACATGGCACTACTTCATCTCAGGGCAGGCAAGCCAGAGCCCACGGGCTTCTAACACTCACCTGAGGGTATCCGTCTGCTGGTTCCACTCTGCTGAGCATAGCTAAAACAAAGGCGGCTGTTTTCCCAGTACCAGACTGAGACTGGGCAATCAGGTTCTGTGGGCTGCATTGACAAAGAACAGAAATAATTTAATATTGGAGCAAGGTGTGGTGATCAATGCCTTTAATCCCAGCACTTAGGAGTCAGAAACAGGTAGATTACTGAGTTCAAGAGTAGCCTGGTCAACAGTAAGCTGCTGGTCAGTCAGTGCTATATAGTGAGATGCTCAAAAAAAAAGTTAATATTGGTTAAACATAATGAAACATCCTGGGCTGGAGAGATGGCTCAGAGGTTAAGAGCACTGGCTGCTCTTCCAGAGTTCAATTCTCAGAAACCACATGGTGGCTCACATCCATCTATGAGATCTGGTGCCCTCTTGTTGCATGAAGGCATACATGCAGGCAGAACACTGTATACATAATAAATAAATAAACCTTAAAACAAAAATCAAACATAGTAAAACTATGCTGGGCAGTGGTAGTGCACACTTTTAATCCCAGCACTCAGAAGGCATAGGCAGATGGATCTCTTGAGTTCGAAGTCAGCCTGGTCTACAGAGTTCCAGGACGCCAGGGTTACATACACAGGAAAAACCCTGTCTTGAACTATCCCCTCCTAACACCCCAGAAAAGAACTAGTTCAGGACAGTTAGGATTATACCAAGAAACCCTGTCTTGAGGAAAACAAAACAAAACAAAACAACAGCAACAAAAAGCAAACCAACCACACACAAAAAAATAATAAAAAGACAAAAAACAAGTAACCAAACGCTGGGATGTTTTTTCTTAGAATGAATCTTTCTCAAGTTTCATCATATTATCTATGTTTCTGCACTGAATAGAAATTAACATTAAGGATGCGAGGTGGTGATGCACGCCTTTGATCCCAGCACTTGGGAGGCAGATGCAGGCGGATCTCTGGGAGTTTGAGGCCAGCCTGGTATTCAAGAGCTAGTTCCAGGTCAGGCTTCAGAGCTATAGAGAAACCCTGTCTCGAAAAAAAAAAAAAAAAAAAAAAGAAAGAAAGAGAGAAAGAGAGAAAGAGAGAGAGGGAGGGAGGGAGGAAGGAAGGAAGGAAAGAAAGAAAGAGGCTGAGCTAAAAATGTTACACAAAATATAGTCTAGGCTTTAAAAATATGCAAGCTCCATGGGCTTGATGGGCATGTGCTGTGAAAGGGTGGGAGGGGACCAGTGTCCATCCTCTCATTTTGAAACCTCAGACTATGTGAGCCACAGTCCTCAGCCCAAAATGCTTGAGACGTTAAACTAGGTCATTTGCTACTTTACTAATAAAAACAATCTGGAAAGGGGAGAAGGAATTAATAAAACCAACTATAAACCTTAAAAAAAATATGCAAGCTACCCTTCAGAGCCTTAGATAATTGCACACAATGAAAGCACAAAGATACCTGAGGAGATAACAGCCAATCTCAGGGTGGCATTTGCTTCAGAGGAGGTAGGCAAAGGGGTGGGAGGGGAGGGTTTATGGGCAGTTCCACATACAACTGGACTAGTGTTATATTCTAAAGCTAGAGAGATATTACTGGTATCTTCTGTATACTTTCTGTTGCAGAGCTCAAAAACTTCAACGTAGTATTTTTGGTAATTATTTTATGTGAATGAGTTTCACACACATGTGTTTCTGTGCACCGCTTATATTATATGCCTCTCAGACTAGAGTTAGATACATGGTTGGGAATCATAATGTGGTTTCTGGGAACTGAACCTGGATCCTCTGGAAAAGAAGCAGGTACTCTAACTGCTAAGTCATCTCTCTAGCCCCTCCAAATAGTTTTGAACCAAATTTGTTTTTGTTTTTGAAGAAGGAGAGACTAAACCGAGTCATCAAGAATGCCAAGCAAGGGTCAGGAATGTTAGCACACACCTTTAACCCCAGCACTCAGCAGGATGAGGTAGGCAGAACTCTGTGAGCTTTGGGTCAGTCTGGTCTACACAGCCAGCTCCATGTAGGCCAATACTAAATAGCGAGACTCTATCTCAATAAAACAAAAATGAATGGATGAATAAATAAATAAAAAAAAAGCCAAGTAATTGCTCTACCATGAGGTACATTCCAAACTCTGAAGTAATTTTCAAATATTGTTTCTGGATTTATTTATTCATTTATTTAATTTTGAGACAATATCTCACTGCAGTCTAGTCTAGACTCTTACACCAGTCTCCCAAAGGCTAGAGTAATCCAAAGGATTACATGGTGTGATCCACCATATACCCAACTCTAAAATAATATCTAAAACATAAGAAAAAAATTTAAAACACAAAATTTTAATAACTGTCTAATAAAACAGTGGCTCTCAACCTTTGGGGGTTCAATAGTCCTATCATAGCGGTCGCCTAAGACCACTGGAAAACACAGACATGTACATTACCATTCATAACAGTAGCAAAATTAGTTAAGAAGTAGCAACAAAAATAATTTCATGGTTGGAGGGGTCATAAAACATGAGAAATTCTATAAAAGGGTCACAGCATTAGGAAGGCTAAGAACCACTGGTCTAAAATAAAACACTATTTATTTTTGCTGATAAATGGAAACAGTAAGAATTGTGTCCATAGAGTTGTAAGAGTTAGCTCAGCAGTTAAGGGCACTTTTTGCTCTTCCTCAGGACCCAAGTTCTGTTGCCAGCATTTATGTAGGGTAGGGCTCACAACCACATGTAACTCCAGATCCAAGAGATCCAATGCCCACTTCTAGATGCTGTGGACATCTGTATTCACACATGCACATACCCATACACAGATAATACATATCTATATACACAATTATAAATAAACTTTTGTAAAAAATGATTTATATTTTTATATTCAGTGCATTGGTGTTTAGCCTGCATGTGTGAGGGTGTCAGAGCCCCTGGAACTGGAGTCACAGACAGTTGCAAGCAGTTATGTGGATGCTGGGAATTGAATCCCGGTCCTCTGAAAGAGCAGCCAGTAGTCATAGTCACTGAATCATCTCGCCAGCCCCTAAAAATAAATCTTAAAAAATACATTTACATAAAAAAGAAATGTGAGTCAGTCGGTGGGGGGCGCACGCCTTTAATCCCAGAATTTGGGAGGCCGAGGCAGGATCTCTCTGAGTTTGAGGCCAACCTGATCTACAGAGTGAGTTCTAGGACAGTTAGGGACACACAGAGAAACCCTGTATTGAATGCAACAAAATAAACAGACAAAAAAAAAAAAAAAAAAAGCAAGAAAAAGAAAAAAAAATGGCAAAATCCATGTGGTTTTCCCTGTACTTCTAAAGCTCTTTTCCTGAGAAGGCAGGTTGTCCCAGACAGCCTGTTTGTGCCCAGAAACAGTAAAAGCCATTCATGAAACAGTTAAACCAACTCTGAAGAGGTACAGCTGGGTCTGTACTCACGGTTCAGCAAGCATCATGGGCAACGCATTCTCCTGGATCTTGGATGGTCGATTGAAGCCCATGGCATAGACACCTTGGAGGAGCTGCGGTTTCCTGGGAGGCAAGGTAGAGACGAGGTGGGTTTTTAGCATTAAAATGTTTTTAGACATCTTATCCTAGATCTAACAAGACATGCTGCTTCCTATCTCAATCAAACTATTATTCTAAAATTTACATTTATTTATTCTCTATGTATACTTTTTGTTGTTGATCTTTGGTTTTTTGAGATAGGATTTCTCTGTACAGCCCTGGCTGTCCTGGACTCACATTGTGCACCAGGCTGGCTTCAAACTCAGAGATCAGCCTGCCTCTGCCTCCAAAGTGCTGGGATTAAAGGCATGTGCCGCCATGCCTAGTTTGCCTAATTTTTTAAAACTATTTTTATTTCTTGGAGACAAGGTCTCCCTATGTAGCTCTGGCTGTCCTGGCATTTACTACAGTCCATCCTGACTCATCTCTTGAGTGCATCACCACAGTTATGCAGTACCAGGGCTTTGTGCATGATAAGCACTCTACCAAGTCAAGTACACTGCTATCCTAAAAGTCTTATTTTTTTTTAAGATTTATTTATTATGTATACAACATTCCTTCCATGTATGCTTGCATGCCAGAAGAGGGCACCAGATCTCATTATAGATGGCTGTGACCCACCATGTGGTTGCTGGGAATTGAACTCAGGACCTCTGAAAGAGCAGTCAGTGCTCTTAACCTCTGAGCCATCTCTCTAGCCCTAAAAGTCTTATTTTTTGGTTCAGATGCCAAAATTGAGCCCCAATTTTGTGTGCCCAGCTGGACTAAAAAACAGGGCAACCAAACAAAAAAAAAATATGATTAAGTCAGTTTCTTTGGTAACCAGGTAAGTGTGGTTATTTAGACAGATGTGATTATGTCTAGTCAAAAATCAAGACTAGATTAAGAGACGTGCCACATCATGCTTGTTATCACAACACTTGGTAGACTAAGAGGACTGCTGGAAATTCTAGGGTAGCCTGGGCTACTGTGCAATATTCTCAAAAAACAAGACTAGAAAAGCACCAACTTCTTAATTTGTTGTTTGCTTTATTTTAAAAAAATATTTATTTATTATGTATACAATATTCTGTCTGTGTGTATGCCTGCATGCCAGAAGAGGGCACCAGACCCCATTACAGATGGTTGTGAGTCACCATGTGGTTGCTGGGAATTGAACTCAGGACCTTTAGAAGAGCAGGCAATGCTCTTAACCTCTGAGCCATCTCTCCAGCCCCTTGTTGTTTGCTTTTTGTCCCCACCTCAGAGTGCTGAGATTACAGGCCCGCACCACTACTTTTGATTTATGCAAGGCTGGCGATTGTACCCAGGGTTTCAAGCACTCTACCAATTGAGCTACATTCCTAGTCCTGGCAACAAGCTCTTAATCAACTACATAGCAAATAGCAATTAATATTACATTTATATTGTGTTTACAGTAAGTTCTCTATTACCCCTACATTCACAAAACATCTAATAAAACCCACACAACACCTTTTACTTATCTTTAACGTTTATGCATTTATCATTACCGTGCCTATGTGCACGACACACCTGTGAGTGTGGGTCTCACCTGCTGTGGCCCATGCACATGTGGTGGTTACAGGACAACTTTTAGGAGTTGGTCCTCCCCTTCTACCATGGATTCCGGAGACTAGACTACGGTTATCAGCTTGCACAGCAGTGTCTTTTATCCACTGAGCCATCTCGCCAGCCCAGGAGGCTTTTTGCCTTTGTTTTTTAAAGGAAAGAGTTCACATAATCCAGGCTGGCCTTGATCTCACTATGTTGCTTGATCCCTGATTATTTACCTCCACCTCTGTCTTGAGAGCCTGGATCACAGCATAGATGTTCAGCTTTTCACAGAAAAGCTAATAGCTGGGCATGGTGTCTCATCCAATAATCCCAACACTTAGAAAGCTCAGGTAAAAGGATTGTTTCAAGTTGCATACTATCCTGGGCTACACAATGAGTTCCAGGTCAGTCTAAGCTACTGAGTGAGGCTTTATCTTTTAAAAGGGGGAGTAGCGGAGGATTAGCAAGATAGCTCAGTGAGTGAAGGCACCTGCTACCACCTGGTTGAGTTTGATCCGTCAGATGGACCCACATGGTAGAAAGAGGTAACTGACTTCCGCAAGTTACCCTGTAACCTCTGCACATGCACACACACAATTAATGCAATAAAAAAATTAAAAGACAAAGGGGCTGGAGAGATGGTTCAGCAGATAAGAGCACTGGCTGCTCTTCCAAAGGAGCTTGGTTAGATTCTCAGCGCCCATGTGGCAGCTCACAACTCCAGTTCTATGGATCTGACCATCCTCACCTGGCATCTAAGGGAACCAGGCATAAAAACGTACGTGGGCAAAACACCCACACACATAAAAATGAGAATTTTATATTTTAAATAAATGCTAAAGGAAAAAAAAAATAGCCAGGCAGTGGTAGCGCACTCCTTGAATACCAACACTCAGGAGGCAGAGGCAGGCAGACCTCTGAGTTCAAGGCCAACCTGGTCTACAGAGACAGCCAGGACTGTTACACAGAGAAACCCTGTCTCAAAAAACAAAACAAAATAAAAAAGCCAAACCAAATTAAGAAGTTCTCTAAGTCTTCTCCACCTCTAAAAGGCAAACTCTTCTGGCATGTGTAGGTTCTCAGACACAAAATTTTTTAGTATTTTCTATTTGGTAACAAAGACAGCATCTAAGTTGTTTGTTTTTTTTTAAAAAAGTTACTACCTAATCGGGATTCACCAACCCAAGAGGTTCCATTGGTTCATTAGTTTTTTTGCATTTCAAATCTTTAAGTATAAAATAATCCAAGTAGGGCACGGTGGCAAACACTAGGTGGACTTAGTGTTTGAAAGGGTGTGGAGATGCCGGATTCCCAGCTTGCTGGCCAGCCACTCTAGCCAATAGGTAAGCTATGAGTTCAGTGAGAGACCCTGTCCAAAAACAAAGTGGGAAATGACAAGAGAAGACTCCCCAACATCAATCTCTGGCCTCCAAGTGTCTGCACATGTATTCCCATGACAAGTATACAAACGCAAGCCCCACAAAGAATGAGAAAAGCCCAAACAATAAAATAACCCAAGTACTCTATGCAGTCTGGGTTCCATCCAGCTACCTTACAATGAACAAATAAGAGAAAACCCGCCAAAGAGGACAATTCAAGCTCCAAGCACTAGCTCAGATCTGTAATGGCAGCACTTGGCTGGCCAAGGCAGGAGGATCTCCGTAAGTTCCAGGCTAGCCATGTGGCTACATAACTCGATTCTTTCTAAAACAGTCGAATTGAGAGAACAAGTCCTTTAAATGAAAGGAATTTAAACTGCTGAGCTCAGAAGAACTTGCTCAACTGATTACACCTGTAATCCTAGCACTTAGGCGGCTGAGACAGAAGGATCACTGAATCCTAGGAGTAACCTACACTACCACCGCCTAGTCCTTAGTTACCTCAGGCTAGATAGTGAGACCTTAAAAAAAAAGGGGGGTGGGGGTGAGGGCCTGGAGAGATGGCTCAGTGATTAAGAGCACTGGCGGCTCTTCCTGTGGCCCTGAGTTCTGTCCCCAGCAATCCCATGGCGACTCACAGCCATTTATTTAGTACAGTCCCAGGAGGTCCACTGCCTTCTTCTGACCCCCACCTCCAACAGCACACAAATGGTGCACACACATTCATGCAGGCAAAAGCACTCATGCGAAAAATAAAATAACTAAAATAATTTGTTTTTCAGGATGTTTGTGGTCCATCACTCAGGAAGACAAAGGCAGGTGGATCTCTGAGGTTGAAACCAGCCTGGTCTACAGAGTGAGTTCTGGAACAGACAGAGGGACATAGAGAAACCCCATCTCAAAAAAAAAAAAAAAAAAAAAAAAAAGCAACAGATGATTGATGAATAAAGCCTTTGACAAAGGAACACTTTAAAGTCTAATTTCCTGAAAAACCTTAAAAGTCAGACTTAGGCTTTAAGGGCTGAGGATGTAGCTCAGTTGGTGGAGAGCTTACTCTACCAACAGTCCCAGAATTGAATGAACCAGGCCTGGTGGCACATTCCCCGTCAGCCTAGCATATGGCAGGTAGGGGTAGGTAGGTCAGATTATCCTCAGTGAAAGGGAATTTGAAGCCAGCATGTGCTATATGAAATTCTTATCAACAAATGGGTTTTGTTTTTGTTTTTTTTTGTTGTTGTTGTTGTTTGATTTTCGAGACAGGGTTTCTCTGTAGTTATTGGAGCCTGTCCTAGAACTAGCTCTTGTAGCCCAGGCTGTCCTCGAACTCACAGAGATCCGCCTGCCTCTGCCTCCCAAGTGCTGGGATTAAAGGCGTGCGCCACCACAGCACAGCCAAACAGTTGTTTTTTAATAATAAAATATGATTGTGATAAGATAGCTCAGTTGGCAAAGTGCCTGCCACACAAGCATGAGGGCTTAGGTTTAAATGTCTAGTACCCACGTTAAAAGCCAAGGGGAAGTGGTACAAGCCTGTAATCTCAGTGCTAGTGGGGGTGGAGACAGGAGGATCCCTGGGATGTCGAGTTCAGTGGATGTCCTCCAGGTTTCTCTCTCACACACATAGTACTGGACATTTGGCAGTCTTAAGCAGTCAGTGCAGTGGTGTCGACTACAGACAATGCTTTGTCTCCTGCCAAATAATTACATACAGAAAACCCCTTCTGAGAGCCAGGAAGTCATAAGCGCTCCTTCCTTCAAAGCCTGGCCCGTCGCAGGTTCTGCTGCACTCCAGGAATCCAGGCTCTTTAGACACTTTCTAAGAAGACTAATGTTTGTAAACCCTGTGGTCACCCAAAGTTCTTACCTAATAAGACATGTTCCTGACATACAGAAATCACCTGACAGTCAATATTTTATTCAAAGTTCTAAGAGTATTTAAAACAAACAAACAAACAAACAAAGCCTTTCAGCTATGCTGACTGACTCTGTAGCATTTCAGTCTCTATAAGAAAACCATGTACCGTGGTGCACACCTACAGACCCAGACACCCACGAGGCTCAGGTGGGAGCCAGGTGTCCAAGGCTTGCAAGGTACATAGTGAGATCCCACATGCACGCTGTAACCCAGGCAAATCCTGAACTTCTGATCTCGTACTTCGAAGCAGCTAGATCATGGGCCTACATCACCACCAGGCTACTCTGAGATTTAGTATCCAAAGAAAAAGGATAGCAGAAAAAAAAAAAAAAAGAAGAAGAAGTGAGAACATTGCTGTAACTTATTCATACAGTTTCATCTGTCCCAGGCTGGCCTCAAACTTGCTCTAGTCCAGAATGACCTTGAGGTTTTTTTTTTTTTAATCCTCCTGCTTGTACAATCTCCCCAAACGCTGGGATTACAAGTGTGTCATCTAATGCCTGCTTGGTGAAGTGCTAGGGCTCAAAAACAGGACCTCATATTTGCTAAGCAAGTACTCATTCTACTACAACCCTTGACCCTCCCACACTAATTTTTGAATCATATAGACTATTGGTTTGTGGATTTTTTTTTTTTTTTTTTTGGAGACAGGGTTTTTCTCCGTAGCTTGGCTGTCCTGGAATTCATTCTGTAGATCAGGCTAGCCTCGAGAACCACCTGCTGAGATTAAAAGTATGTGCTACCGGGGCTGGAGAGATGGCTCAGCGGTTAAGAGCATTGCCTGCTCTTCCAAAGGTCCTGAGTTCAATTCCCAGCAACCACATGGTGGCTCACAACCATCTGTAGTGAGGCCTGGTGCCCTCTTCAGGCCTGCAGGCATACACGCAGACAGATACTGTATACATTAAAAAAAAAAAAAAAGTATGTGCTACCACCATTCAGCAAATCATGTAGATTATTACCTACTCAAATACGTAAATATGATTGAAAACAAAACAAAACAAAAAAACAAACCTTTTTTTAAAGCCAAAGTTAAAGTACAGAAGAATGTAGCACGGGCTGTTTTAGAACTTACTCTGAAGACCAGGCCTGCCTCTGCCTCCCAAAGCCATGTGCCACCACCGCCAGGTTTTAGTTGTTGCTGCTGGTTTTGAGACAGGATTTCCCTAAGTAGTTCTGACTAGACTGAACTCACAGAGATCCACCCGCCTCTGCCTACTGAGTGCTGGGATTAAAAGGCCACCATGCCCAGTCCAGAGATGCTTTTTCATTGGGACTGGGTAAGTTAACAGCTGTTCAAAGCAACGAATACTCACAGACGAAGCTCTTCGAAAGACTTCACTGAGTAGAGAGGCGAGCTTGGGTCCCTCTGCAGGACTTCTACTTGGTTGGTGTTATCCACAAGATTGCTTCTGATGAGCTTGTTGAGTAAAGACTGAGCAGCTCTGTCCTCTGTCGGGAGGAAAGCAGACTTTCTTCACCCACACGAGGCAAGGCCACCCTTGAGAAAATACTGTCTCCCCATCTCCACATCATCCTAAGTTCCTTGCAATGAACAAGCTATTCGTTGTTCTAAACCTCATTTTTTGTAGTTGCCCAAATAGCTGAGACTGCAAGTACATGGTGCTCCTTAATCACCCTACCAGCTATAGTGGCACACTTTTGCTTTCTGTTTCCCAAGAACTGGGGATAAAACTCAGGGCCTAGCACACACAAGAAATGTGTTCTGCCCTTGAGGTGCATGTCAAACTACACGCTTTGTATGTGTATAATGTGTTTGGATGAGTACAAAGGTGTGCATGGATACTTGTGTACATGAGTTTGGAGGTCAGAGACTGAGATCATGAATCTTCCTCAACTGCTCAGTCCCCTTATTTATTTTTCTTTATCTCTCTTTTATTTTTTGTACTCCAAGACAGGGTTTCTCTGTGTAAGAGCGCTAGCCGTCCTGAAACTAACTCTGTAGACCAGGCTGGCCTCAAACTCAGAGATCCGACTGCCTCTGCCTCCCAAATCTGAGATTAAAGGCATGCACCACCACTGCCTGGTAGCTGTCCCCTTATTTTTTGAGATGAGGTCTCTCAATGAGCCTAGAGTTATTTTAGACTGGTTCAGCAGAAAGCTCAGGATCCCCCTGTTGTCAGACCACCCCTCCACCACCAGAGCTAGGCTCACAGATGCATGCTACTACTCCAAATTACCGTGTGGTACAAACTGGGGGTACAAACTCAGGCCATGATTTTATGGGGGGTGGGGTACTTTACTGAATGAGCCACCACTTTCCCAGATTTGACACACCACTGTTGAAGACATTTTTTTGGCTTCAAGGACAACACACTCTTGTTTTGCAATATTATTTAAAGATGTGTTACATTTGCTTATGCTGTGGCACTTTTGTTTAATGATGCAAAGATGTGTCGCATTCCTTTATGTTACATTTGTTTAACTCTGTCAAGCTGTGTTACTTTGCCTGCCTAAAACACCTGAATGGTCTAATAAAGAGCTGAATGACCAATAGCTAGGCAGGAGAGAGAAATAAATGGGGTTGCCAGGCAGAGAAAATAAACAGAAGGAGAAAAAGAGAAGAGGAAGGAGTGAGGAAAAAGAGGAGATGAGGATGCCAGGGGCAGCCACCCAGACACACACAGAATAAGAAGCAAAGAAAAGAGATACAGAAATAAGGAAAGGTAAAAGCCCAGGGCAAAAGGTAGAGGGGCTAAGTTAAGAAAAGCTGGCTAGAAATGAGCCAAGCTAAGACCTGACATTCATAAGAAGGAATACGTCTACATGTGATCATCTGGGGCTGGGTGGTGGGACCCAAAGAGCAAAGAGCAGGAAACCACTGCGCACTCCTCGTTTTCCCTCACTTCCTGTCCTCACAACTCAAGTGGCTCCAGCTCCACGTGGCCAAGTCCAGGGCACAGCAAGGCTCTCGCCGGAGAACGTCAAAGAACAGTTACCTTTCTCTTCCTCCTCAGTCTTCTCTGCAGAGGCGCTGGTTTTGATAACACCTGCACAAGAAAACAGCTGTCATCAGAAAGGCAAACACTAAACTAAACCCACCTACAGCTTGGGACAGCATATATATTAACAATGAAGTGAACAAATTAAGGAACTGGCTTTTTTATGTTTAATAAATTTTATGTTTATGGAGCATGTTCAGAGAATAAGAAAAAAACTTATATTTAAACTTAGAATCACAAAAATATTTTATTTCTGACTTAGTTATCCTAAAAAACAGCAAAGCCTTACATATCAAATTCTATTCCCTATTTTTTTTTTTACCTGTAAGACTAGAAAAACCCAATCTGACTAAACATCTTGTGATTAGACTGTAGGGTTAACAGACACTTTCAGGCTGTCAACAGAAATATAAAATTGTAGAGCACTTGCATGGTGGTGAATATCTATAATCCCAGGACTAGGGAAGTAGAAGTAAGCTGACTCATGAATTTGAGGTTAGCCTGGTCTTTATATAAATTCTACATTAGTCAAGGTTATATACTGAGACCCTGTTTCAAAAAACACTAAAAATAAAACAATCTTATGGAGGGTACTTTATGTTTCATTTTTGAGACAGGGTCTCATGTAGCCCAGGCTGGCCTGGAGTTTGCTATGTGGCAAGGAATGACACTGAACTTCTGATCCTCCAGATTCTACTTCCAAGGGTTTAGATTACAAAGAAGCATCAACATGCTTGGTTCATATGGTACTAAGAATTGGACACAGGTTCCTGCATGCTATCGAGCAGCCTACCAACTAAGATATATCCTCACCACCACTTTGAAAATATTTGTAAGACAGGTGATGGTAGCGCAACCCTTTAATTCCAGCACTTGAGAGGCAGAGGCAGACAGATCTCTGGGAGTTCAAGACCAGTCTGGTCTACAAAGCGAGTTTCTGGACAGCCAGGTCTGTTACACAGAGAAATCCTATCTTGAAAAGCCAAGATGATGATGATGATGATGATGATGATGATGATGATGATGATGATAAAAGGTAAAAACTAAATAACTGAGTAAAAGTATTTGCTGCCAAACCTGAGGATGACCTGAGTTCAATCTCCTGGCAGACACAACCAATGCCTTTAAGTTGTCCTCTGACCTCCAAATGTGCACCATGGCATGTTATCACTCACACACACATAGCATAATAGAATTTCTTAAAAGACTTATTTTTGTCATAATTATATAATGTCTAAGCACATGAGAGCAGGTGTCCTTAGGGGACAGAAAAACGAGTAGTTATAGGATGCTGTGAGCCATCTGATGTGGGTGCTGAGAACAGAATTCACAGAGATCTGCCTGCCTCTGCCTCCTGAGTGCTGGAATTAAAGGCATGTGCCAACACCACCTGGCTCACAATTTTTTTTCAAATGCTTATACTCTTGACCTAGCAAATCTATTCATGGTAAATTATTGTAGAAACACACTGCACAATATAAAGTATTTAAGCCCATGGTTATTCTGAGACATACTGCTTCAAATAATATCAAATTGAAACAAACCCTAGATGACTGATTAATGACGTATCAACATAATGCAATATTGTGTAGGTCAATATGGAGAGCATGTAAAGTTAGACTGTTGCATGGAAAAAATCAGGAATACTGTGCATTATCTTGTCACCTCTCAGAGGTAAGTGATAGGGAGAGAGGAACCGGAGAACAGAAACAATGAAAATATGAATCCCTATCTTTATTTGCCTTATATAAGGAAACTGGAATATTAAAAATTCACTGCCAGGTATAGTAACACAAATTTGTAATCCTGGCACTTGAGATGCTGAGGCAGGAGGAATGCTATGAATTCAAGTCCAGGCTCAGCTACACAGCAAGACCCTGCTATCAAAAATAAATAAATAACGAATGGACTTAAACAAGTAAGCCAAATGAAACTAAAGTAAAATGCCACTAACAGTAGCTACTTCTGTAGCTGATTTAACTGAGTATTCCTAAAATTCATTTATCCTGTCCTGATCCCCAGTACCTCAGGAAGGAACCTTATTCTGAAAATGGGGTTAAGCGTGTCCAACTCCAATACTACTGAACCCATATAAAAAGGGGAAACCTGACTAGTCTAAAAATAAAAATAAAAAGGGGAACCTAGGACAGAGCACTTACCTCAAATGTTTGAACTCTGAGTGTGGCCCTCAGCATTTCCAAACATTCGATCAATCAATTAATCAATAAACAAAGGAATGCTATTTAGAAGAACACTAAGAGATCTGGGTAAAATCATTAAAATCCAAGGAAAACTAAAAACTGCCAGCAAAAACCTGGAATAAGGTCTTTCTACAAGACCTCAAAAGCAACAAACTTTGTTGACACCTTGATCTTAGAATTCCAATCTCCTGAGCTTTGAGACAATAAGCTACTGTCGGTTGTTGTTTTGTTTGTCTGTTGAGAAAGGGTCTCGTTTTGTAGCTCTGGCTGGCCTCTAACTCAAATCTTCCTGCCTCTGCCTCTTCTGGGAATAAAGGCTTACACCACCACACCTGGCAGCTATTATGGCTTAAACTACCCACCTTGGGTGCCTTGTTAGAGGTGCCCAGCAAATGAACACAAGTGGGCACAGGAACAATAGACACGGAGCAGTGTGGAAAGGAGGCCTTGTACCTTCTCATACTTTCTGTGCTTTGTTTGTTTCTGAAGCAGAGTTCTGCTATAGTCCTGGGATGGAGTAGAAGAGGTGGCCTAAAAAACTTCAACAATCCTCCTGACCACAGGAATCACGGGGGTGTGGGGGGGTGATGAGCCACCATGCCTGGCCTGAACCTAGTCAGGCTTCAAAGATTTTAATATCAAGTAAACAGGAACGCAATCCAACAGTGGCATATGAGTGTTTTGTTCTGTAGACAGGGTTTCTGTGTTAGTCCTGGCTGTCCTGGAACTCACTCTGTAGATCAGGCTGGCCTCACACCCATACCTCTACTTGCCTCTGCCTCCCGAGTGCTGAGATTAAAGGTGTGCACCACTACCACCTGGTTGTGACTTTTGTTTTTAAAGCATCAGGAGCTTGGAAAATCTGGAAAACATTCCCTCTTCAGAAATATCTGCTAATTCCTCATTTGGGCTCCGTCCTAGACTGACATCTGCCGAGCGGCTCTAGCACAGGCCCACTGCTCACTGCACGGCAAGCGGCGCACACCGCAGGTCCAACTCTGTACCTCGTCTGCAGTCCCCAGTGACTCACCATTCGTGTCTGCTTGGACCTTTTCTTCTTTGATCTGCAAACTGCTCATCTGAGTAAGAATAAAAGAAAACAGTAAGCAAGAGAACCAACCAAGGGAGGCAGTGGGGCTGCCTGGTGAGAGGTTAGCAGAAACTACTGCAGAGCTGGCTGGGGAGCTAGTTTGTTCGGAAGGGCTAAAAGCCTGGGCAAAAACATCTCATGTTTCCTGAGCAGCATAAAAAGAGGAGGTGGGCATGGATTAAACATAACGGTATAAGGAGAAACAGGGAGGAAGCCTTTGAGCATTTGCTTTTCTTCTGACTTACACTCTTTCTAGAATATATCCACGTTTTTGTTTGTCTGAGTTTGAGTGATGCTAGCAGGACACAGAACTTTGTGTCCTTAGTGGCAGGCAGGCTACCACTAAACCATGCCCCAACCTCTTTAACCCTATTAACAGCAAATAAATTATAGTCCTCTATCTTTTCAACCACCTGCATGGTAAGTTAGTTTAAAATGTATTACAATGAACTGAGTGCAGTGAAACAGGCCTTTATCTAGCACTTGGGCAATGGAGGCAGGAAGAACCAAAGTTGAAGAGTCAGTACCCCCATCAAACAAACCCCACAGGATTTTTCTGTGTAGCTTTGGTACCTGTCCTGGAACTAGCTCTTGTAGACCAGGCTGGCCTTGAACTCACAGAGATCCGCCTGCCTCTGCCTCCCTAGTGCACAACCACCGTCAGGCTGAGTTGTTGGTTTTGTAAGACAGGGTCTCTCTACATAGCCCTGGCTGTCCTGGCATTCACTCTGTAGACAAGCCTGTCCTCAAACCCAGAGATCCACCTTCTTCAGCCTCCCAAGAGCCGAGATTAAAAGTGTGAACCACTTAGCATGAACTGTTATCCTTCCTGGAACCACTCTACTGCTTGCTCTCAGATTTGCTATACTTTGCTAAATGTGTGTCTACAGAGGTGAAAGTGTATGTGTGTTGGGGGGGGTGAAGTATATCTCAAGGGGATTTACATCAGCCTTCTGATAAGCAGAATGGCTAGGTCAATATCCAGGATGTTTAGGTGGTATTGATGATATTCACATCATAATGAGATTAGGGATATACTTTGCTTTTACCCCCTGCAGTGCAGGGTTAAAGTTCAACCTAGGGCCTTGTTCAAGCTAGGCAAGTGTGACTTACAAAACTAAGTCCCCAGCTTTGGTTAGTACACTTAAAAAATCCAGAAATGTGGGTTTGGTGGGACCTTCCTGCAATTCCAGATAAGACAGGAGGGTTACTGAAGTCCAGGGGTTTGAGGCTAGACTGGACATCAGTGTGAGATACTCTTTCTCAAACACACATAATTAAATTGAAAACAATTCCCAGTCACTATCATTTAGGGATAATTTCATACCAAACATCAAATTTGAAGTTTCAGCCTGGGACTCATAAGATAGCTCGGTGGGTAACTTCATGTCCTCCAGCCTGATGAACTGAAATCCATCCCACACACACATGCATGCTTAAAACAAACATACATACACAAAATACAATTAACGGTTTAAAAAATAAATACAGGAGCTGCAGTGATGGCTCAGTGGTTAAGAGAGTTTGCAGAAGTCCGGGGTTTGGCTCCCAGCACCCACAGAAAGGCTCACATCAGTTTCTATCTCCAGATCCCTGGAATCCAACACCCTCTTCTAACAAACTAGGTCACAAAAGATGGCACAGATACACATAAAACAGACATAAGTAGATATTAAAAGAAAGTAATTGAGGCCACCCTGAACTAAATAGTAATCTGCAGGTTATCTGGTCTGTCTCAAAAATAGAACAAAGGCATCAAATCTCTAACTCCAGAGCTTAAGAGGGGGCAGAAAGATACCCGGAATTCTGAAGGCTAGCCTCAGCTACACAATAAGACAGAAGCCAACCCACACTAAATGAAACCCTGTCTCGAACGCACTACCATCACCACCATAAAAAAGTCTTTAAAAATGAAACTAAACGTCACTAAAATATTAACTAAACAGTTTGTATTTGTAGTTACGTGGTGCATTAAAGCAAAGCAAAACAAAACCCGTTGTTCTGGAGAGCTACAAACTGCCAACCACATTAAGCATGAATGTAAGAACTGTTAGGTGAAAAGAGGCACAAACGCGCTCAAAAACTGCCCCTTAGCAATGAAAATGATGCCATTTGTTATGAAAGGTCAAGAGAAAGCCAGTTTGGGGCCTCGCACACATAGTGAGGACAGAGTCACCACGGGAAAAACTTCAGTCCACTCGGATAAGAAACTCGCAGCGGGTTTTCTGCGCTCTTGGAGCAAATCAGCACTAAGCGATTGCCCGCGGCAAACTCCAGCGGCTCGCGGGCCGACCCGACTCGGAGGTCTCCGAGCTGAAGTCGGCAGCCGCCCAAGTCCCCTAACCCCGCCAGGCCACTGACCGACTTGACAGCGGCTTCCTGCTGGTCCACCGCCAGCGCCCAAGAGTCGGTGGCCATGGTCCCCAAGGCGGGAGAGACCTGCAGAAAGGTTCCGGACCTCGCTAACGCCAGCCCGCGCCAAGCACTACTCGGGAGGAGCGGAAGAAGATGTGCGCGGAATTGACGTCAGTTCCTGTCCCGCGCGGTCGTCTCCCAACCTCGCTCCACCCTGGCGTGGGTAAGCAAGCCTACTTGGCTAGGTGTGGTCTGATTGTAACTTAACGCCCCAGAGCTCGGCAAAGAGTAACTTAGTATTCACTGCATCTCTTCGTTTCCCACTAAAATAGTTCCTCCCTCTTTTTTGGTTCGTAACAAAGTTTCTTGCAGTTAGCTGCCTTGAACTCGGTTTCCTCCTTCGCTTCTCAAATGCCGAAATTACAAGCGATCCGACACCTTCTACCGGCCTTTGCGGTCACGGACACAAACATGCATATACGTAATTAAAAATAAAATGACCCGGGCGGTAGTAGCACAGGTCTTTAATTTCAGCACTTGGGAGGCAGAGGCAGGCAGATCTTTGAATTCGAGACCAGCCTGGTCTACAGAACGAGTTCCAGGACAGCCAGAGCTACATAGAGAAACCCTGTCTCCGAAAAACAAAACAAAACAAACAAAAGAACTCATCTTATACAATACATTTGAATCATTTCTCAGCATCCCTTACGTCATCTCCATTTAGTTCTCAGCATCCCTATGTCATCTCCATTTCCCATTTGAGAAAACTAAAGTTAGAGAAGTTAATTCTGACATCACACACCCTAAACAATGGATAAATGTGACCATTGATTTCAGGACAACTCAGTACTACAGCACAAGCCCAAAATCCGAGTTAGTTTTCTTCTTACCAATTCAACAAGCATGCATCTTAGAACCTTGCCGGTATCTGACTGACCAAAGGCAAATGATAGAACCAATCACCAGAGGACAATGCTCCTTTCCTGGGTACTTCTTACCTGCTACTGGGCCTAGAACTGTTACTGAATCACCGGCTGGGATGGCATTATCAACTATCCTGAACTCACAGAGATTCACCTGCCTCTGTTTTTCAAGCACTGGGATTAAAGGTATGAACCACCACACCCAGCAAGTTCTCTTAAGCTTTTTATAAAAATATTTACTTTTCTGTGTATTAGTGTTTCTGTCTGCACTTATGTTTGTGTGTCAGATCCCCTAGAACTAGAGTTGTAACTCTGCTATGTTGGTGCTGGGAACTGAACCTGGGTCCTCTAGAACCATTGAGCCATCTCTCCAGTCGTGAGCTTTCTAAGGATACAGGACCTGTAAGAGCAGGACTAACAGGCTGTCCTCTACTGTGCTTCTCAACTCTGCTGCACGGCAGGGCTCCTAGTCCCAATTCTTTTCTTGCCCCACATTCACATCAGCTAGGAGCCGGGAGAGGGAAATTTCTACTCACCCTTTAAGTTTGGCAGTTTTTTTCAATTTTTGCTTTTTGCTTCAGGTTGGGTTGGAGGATGTGAAAAATGAGAAATGAGGAAGGAAAATACAGAAGGCCATCAACTTCTGTGATGACAGGACAGAAGTGGAGCAGTGAGGACCCCTCATCAACTTCATTTTGTATTTGAACCAAAAATGCTGTGTTTTTTATTTTTAGATCCACTCTCACTTTGACCTCACAGTCCTCCTGCCTCAACCCTTTGACCATTGAGATTATAGGCTTGTGCTACCAAGTACAGCTAAAACTGAGTAACTCTGGTTGGCTTGGAACTATGTAGACTAGGTTGGCCTTAAAACTCTTAGAAATCCACCTTTGGGGGTTGGAGAGATGGCTCAGTGGTTAAGAGCATTGTCTGCTCTTCCAAAGGTCCTGAGTTCAATTCCCGCAACCACATGGTGGCTTACAACCATCTGTAATGAGGTCTGGTGCCCTCTTCTGGCCTGCAGACATACACACAGACATATTATGTATATGTATACAAATACATAATAAGTATTTTTTTTCTTTTTAAATTTTTTTTATTTATTATGTATACAATATTCTGTCTGCATGTACGCCTGCAGGCCAGAAGAGGGCACCAGACCTCATTACAGATGGTTGTGAGCCACCATGTGGTTGCCGGGAATTGAACTCAGGATCTTTGGAAGAGCAGGCAATGCTCTTAACCACTGAGCCATCTCTCCAGCCCCCATAATAAGTATTTTAAAAAAATAAATCCACCTATGTCTGCCTACTGAAAAATTAGGATTAAAGCCACTGACACATCTGACAAGGCACTGTATGAGAAGACCTGCGGCACAGCTATGGACAATTGAGCTAAAGACTTAGTATTTTTTTGGTTCATGGACAGGAAGCAAGAATCATGTTGAATTCTAGGTTTCTAACTTGAACAATAGGCAACTGTGATGCCATTTTGTGAGATCAATTTGGAGGAGGAACTCGGAGCAGGGTTCAGGGTTTGGGCAGTTGGTGTTTGCTAGGCTTCATGCTGTTCATAGTAACAGAACTAGAAAACATCCCAGGATAAGCAGCAGTTATTTCTCCTACCGTAGAACTCAACCATCAGGTCTTGGGATAGATTTGGGGGATTTCCAGCAGATAGGGCCACAGGATTGAACAAGGTTGTCTGTTGCAAAGAGGAGGAAATGACCAGACACTGAGGCATAAGGAGGTGAATAAAAGCATTAAGGAGCCTGCGACATGGTCAGAAAAAAACAAAAAGTGAGTGTGTCCCAATGGTAAGCACTAGAGTGTCTCTAGTTCCTAGAGGAAGTTCTGTTGAATACTGCTGAGAAATCTAATATGATAGAAAGTGTGCTCCAGATTATGCCTGCACAGTCTATCAGTGTTCTGGGCAAAGGACACTTTTTCAGGAGAGCTGTGGGGAGCAGAACTACAGAGGATTAGTACTGGAGGCCAATGCATCAAATAAACTCTTGTAAACCTTGGCCATAACAAGTGTTGGAGCTGGGTGGGGTGCTGTGCACTTGTAATGGAAACATTTGCAAGTGGAAGGAATGCTGCTGAGTTTAAGGCCAGCCTGACCTTGTCTTGATAAAATGGGCACTCAAGAGATGGCTCAGTTGTTAAAATCACATACCTCTTGCAGAGGACCTGGGTTTGGTTCCCAGCTCCATATGGTGATTCGGGATTGTCTGCAAGGAGAGTTCTAGGGATTGGATGCCCTCTGCTAACCTCCACAGGCACTGCAGACATACAAGCAGACAAAATATCCATACACATTTTAAAAACTGTATTTATTTAAAATGACAAGCAAATCGTAAAAAATTAAAATCTGTGTGTGGGTATGATGAGGTCTAAAGACAACTCCCCGAGGCAGGTTTTCTAACTTAAGCTTTTATCCACTGAGCCATCTCACCAGCCTTATCTTGATAACTTCTATGCATATTTAGCAGCTACTGCTGCCAGACAGCAAAATGAACACACACACACACACACACACACACACACACACACAAACAGGTTCATTTGGCCACATAACCATAACCTGAGTTGTCCTTTTGTCTCTTACTTGGTTTTTGGAAGCAGAGTTTTTCTATGTGTAGAGTCCCTTCCAGTATAAACGGGGAGGTTAGCCCTCAGGAATAACAACCTAAACTCAGTAGACTGTTCTGAAACTGAAGAATTAGAATGCTGGAAAACACACCAATAAGGATATGAGAGAATAGCAAAGACTGAAAACAAGAGCCATCTGCTAGGGAAAAATGTCTCTTACCTTGGCAAAATCTACCCACAGTCCCAGGCTAAAAGGGCACAGAAAGGTCTGCTTTCTCATCCACGTCCCTTGTCTGTCCATGAACTACAGCTAAGGCAAAAGGGTGAGTGTTCCATTCAGACAGCAGTCAGGTGTCACTGTCAAGCTTCACCTAACCTTTTATTTTTGATGAGACACTATTCATGTTGTCCCAACAGTACTCAAACTTTCAGCGATCAGCCCCTGCAAGTGTTAAGATTATAAATGTATGCCGCCACACTCAGCTTGGCCTCAAGACCTTTCCCCACCTTCTTTTCCCATTTCACAACTGAAACTACAGAAAAGCTTTGCACCATGGATTCAAAAGCCAGGGCAGTCTAGAGGCCAAGGAAAGCATGTGCTACCCTCAGGTGTCCGCATTTTCACACTAGGTTTCCAAAGCCGTTGATAAAATATCAGAAAATGAGTGCCTTGGTATTATTGGGTTAATCTCATGTCCCAGGGTCCTTTATGGAAGACACCGCAACAGTCGGGCAACAGAATACAGAATATTTATTCTCAGGTAGAGAAACAAAGTCAGATAAAATTGCAAGGTGTTCCCAAGAATCTGGAGTCTCTAATGAGGACCAAGAGAAATTTGAAGAGGATCCCTTAAATCTTCATTACCTTGGGTGGTATGGGCGAAGGAGGCAGTCATACAATCTCTCCAACAACAGAAAGCCAATTTCATTACATCTGTGATTTAAGAATTTCTGAATGTTGACGTCTCAGTCTTCAGACCTGCTTCCCGGCTGTGTCTGATCTTCAGACTACCCAGGCCTGGCTATTCATTCTGTCACAGCAGGATAGTGGACTATGACACAGTCTAATCACTGGGTCTTGGTAGTTCCTACCTAGAATCCCACAACTCAGGATGCTAAGGCAGGACTGCTTTGATTTTCAGCCCAGTCTGTGTTTAATAGTGAGACCCTCTCTTTCTCACTATTTTATCCTGTGAACATTGACTTTCCTCTTGGCCAGGCTGTGCTCTCTCTGTCTTCCTAGTTTATCTCCTTTAGTCTTGTCAACTTGACTTTGGAGTCAATATGTCTTTACGTTCTGAGACAGAGCCTCATGGAGACCAGGCTGGCGTCAATTCTCTTTGTAGCTGGAGGACCCTGCACTCCTCATCTTCCTATCACTTCCTGAACTCTGGAATCTCAGCCATGCCCCACCATTCTAAGCTTTAGTCTTATGTCCTGGGCTGGGAGTCAATGATAAAGGGGAAAAGATCTATCTCCAGGCTACATGTTCCTACCCAGCCTCTTGTAGCTTAGGCTGGCCTTAAATTCCAGAACTTCCTGCTTTCATATCACAAGCATGAACCACCATGTTCAGCCTGGTTTTTTGTTTGTTTCGTTTTGTTTTTGAGATAGACCAGGCTAACCTGACTTCAAGCTCAAATCCCTC